TGGAGAAGTTACATCTCCAATCTGGTCCGGGAACGCCTTGGGGTCCTGCCGGAGGAGCTGGTGGACAAGGCCGGGGAGAGGACGGCCTGGAGCTCCCTAGTTGGGATGCTGCCCCCGCGACCCGGACCCGGATAAGCGGAGGAAGACGACGACGACGACGACGACGACGACGAGACCAATTAGGCAGATGTGGTTTAATTGTAACATTTGTCATTTTCTTTGGAGCAGTGAGCTAATTTTATGAGACATATTGTTAAATTTTCCAGTGGGACCATCTGATATATATTCTTTGGGTTGGGGCCCTATCTCCAAAATAGGCTGATGTCTTCTCACCATATTCTGTTTTATTTTATTGGGTTATTGGAATTCTGCACAACACAGTACATGCATGGTTTATACAAGCAAACAAAAATATCCTTAGCTATCTTCCTGGAATGTGAACTTCAGCTAAACTCCGCTTGTGAAAGTTTGAAGGTTCTCAGCCAAATGTTTACGTTGGCAGTCTAAACCCCGAGCCACATATTACGAACTCTTTTACCTGTTTTCTTTTACTGTTTTGACTAATTAGATATATTTTGGTAAGAAGTGGTTTCATTTTGACCTTTGTCATTTTCTTTGGAGTACTGAGCTGATTTTGTGGTTTACTTGATTGTTAAATTTTACGGTGGGACCTTGTGCCCATTTTCGTGGGTTTTGGTCACCATATTCTGTTTTATTATTTTGGTTATTTTGTTTTATTTCATTTTAGCGGGATATTTTCTTTGGTCTTGGTACTGGATTACTACACAGCGCAGTGCAGTCTTGGTTTCTACCAGCAAACACTTACCAGCCTCGACTATCTTCGGGTTATTGAAAGCTAGATTTTTATTATTATTATATTTTTTAATTTTATTTTATTTTTTGGCCATTCGTCCACTCTGAAGCGAACGCAGTGCTTCCGGTCTGTTAGAAAATAGATTTTCCGGGGTTCGTGGTTGACACTCTGTCCTTTTGCTGAGATAGTTTTTCTTATCTGAATAGTTTTATGTTATGACGCGTTCATGTTGTTTGAGTTCATTCCGTCTTGGGGCAATATGTGTTTACCTTTTCTTTTCTGTGGGTGATGTTTACCTGTTTTGTTTTGACCCTATGTCTTTAAACAATTAAGGATGTCCTGGCTAGTGATTTTGTTTTCGTTTTTTAGTTTGCTGCCGTGAGCAGAATTCTTACCCAATTGGGATTTGTGGACAAAAATGATTTGATTTGCTGCTTCAAAAAGGTGTTCGGGCCTTTCATATCTTTAAAAACTTCCTGTTTTTATTATTTTTTCTTTTGCTGTTCAAACAATTACATTCAGGGGGGAACGCAGTGTCAGGTTTGAATCATTAAAGTATGTCTCCGTGCATTTTCTGTCCACCACAGTGCTTGTTTGTTTGCTGACCTCACATGTGTGTGTGGTCTTGATTTTAGCTTAGGATGATACCGTGTGGACTGTGGTGGTCAAGTTCTGGTGAATTTCAGCCCCAATGGGGGTCCGAACTGGACTGATCAAAAAGAATGATGGATGGATGTTGCTGAAGAAAAAGTTCAAATTCCACAGTGATCTCGCAGAGCTCTTGTGCTTTCTCACCACAAACTGTGAAACCAAGGAGATTGGGGTCCTGATGCACATGCTGCTACCAGATGGGGCATCAAGGTCACTCATCACATCCCTCCCTTTGCTGCATACTGCTGAGAGGGCCACTACGACTGTCAAGTCTTGCCTTAACTTGTGTAGAATCCCCACTTGAAAGGGATGGCAGAGTCTTTGCAGTTTTATATGACTGGGCTTTACTCAAGGACCACACAATTATTCCTTGTCGTCTTCATTTTATTTTGTTGTTTTGTAGAAGGCTTAGGATTGTGGTTGGTCTTGTGCAGGTAAAAACCTCAAACAATTCAAAGAAGAAACATGTAAATGCAAATGGTTACGACAAACCCATACTATACATTTTACTAAATTCAAATTGCACAAATACTTAACTGAGAACCAACAAAATAGTACATCACTTCAAGATAATTTGCAGTGCAAACTATTGATGTCAAACAATATGGCCATGCCACATCACCATGCTAGTAGGCCGGTGGCTAAGCTACAGCCAACCAGAAAACAACTCCAGCAATAAAGTTTCTTAAGTTTCTCTCTTACCAGCTGCCTTCCTGCTGCTTGAATCAAGACTCTGCCAGCTCCACACAGGCTTGCCACATAAGCAAAAGTGCTTCACATGGACCAAGGTTTGGTACCTGTGATTGTCTGATTACTAAAACCGGGCATCGGCTGGTGCATCACCTTTTATAGTCCTGATCCTACCACTGCCAAACACAGTTCCACCGTAATTGTTTCCAACTAATTTACATTTAAGCAAACATTACTTCCCCATTTATCTTATTTTATTAGACTTTAAAAGCATACATATATATATTTTTTTCTTTTTTTTTCTTTTTTAACAAAACGACGACTGAAACATCCTCATACGAGCTCACCGAGGATGGCAGATAAGTAAACAATCTGCCTTGAGCTTGCAGGGCCCATTTACCATGCCGCTGCTGATGTTTGGTGGTCACACTCTACCCTGGAACCGCCCCTCAGCACCTGACGGAACGAGGGGAAACGGCAGCAGTTGGGAGGAACAACGGAACCGACACCTGGTGGCTGAAACCCCTCCTGGGTCCATCCACATGATGCTGTGACCAGCCTCCAACGATGTCAAGATCCAGTACCAAAAATCTCCCATCTGGTTTCATGGCTCCCTGTCCAAAAAGACATCCCCTCACCGTCCCCACCGTCACAGAATCCCATGTTGCTATGACATCATCAAAGTTGCTGACACATGCCTCTTGCTACATCATCAAAGTTGCTGACACACGCCTTTTGCTCAGAATGGCTCTCTCTCTCCTGCCACACAACTGGTGTGCCACACGACGGGCGTCCCTAAGAGGACATCCGAGCTGAAGTAAGAGAGTCTGGGTCTGTAATGACCCTTTGCCCTTTCCCCACCTACAAACACAAAGCCCCTCACATCGACGGCCCAACCACTAGGATTCTTCTGTTTCATCTCGACGAAAGTGCAACGCCATCCCGCCGTGCTCTCCTGCATAAATCCTCACTGCTAAGCCTTTGACCCTCGACTCTGCCCCAATTGAAGATGCTGAAACCCCCTGACGCTTCCCATGCTTCATAGATTGGCTGTCTTAAAGCAGAAAAATTGGTATCGGCTTTTGTGACAATGTTCATGTTTTGCTTAGTTTCAACTGTGTTTCGGGTAAAGGAATGGTTGACAGGCTCCTGACAGGTGCCTTGGTCCATATTTTTTCCTAATGAAGGTTTCTCCTGTTAAAACTAGTTTATTGATGTCCTCTTAAAATTTATCATCTATGATCGTTTTTTATATTCATCCAATTTCTTACAGGGTGTTGCTTATATTACAGTTTTTTTGAGGATCACTTAATATTTTGTGTTCGTTTGGTGTGTTAGAGGTTTGTTCTTGTATTGCACTTAATCGTGGTGTTAGTGTTATTATTTTATTCTGCTTTTCATAGCACATGACCTATGTTTCCACAGGGAGGATTGTCTGGTAAAAACTGATTTTCACCTTCTAGTGTTGATAATGTTGTTCTTACGAATAGAGTTCATCAGCCTTATTTACATTTAAAGTGGTACATACTGTATTAGATGCGTGGAACACGATTTTGTCTGGGTACCATCTGGTGTTTTTGAATTCGACCGAAGGTTATGTTATGGTTTTATTGGTCTGCCAATTATTGTTTTGAATGTCATTCACTTATTGTTCCAGCGTTGTCATTGACACTTTCTGCATTGTCTGCCCCTTGATGTAGTTTTTGTGTGTTTATCTCTCTCTCCACTTTGGAAAATCTAAATGGTTTTTAATTAATAAAATTAAAATGGGTTAAATTGATCAGCTTGATAATACAACCCCTGCGTGGTGAGCTTTCCCTTCAGGTAACCCTGGATGGGAAAATGAAAATACCTAACAAGTTTCTTATTCCATTTTTCGGTTCTTTTTAAAACACAGGAAAGGTTTTTCTTTACCTTGCTGACGTACGTTTCGTTTGTCGACTGCAAAACTTCCTCAGAGCTGACGCTGATGGTGGCGTCACTTCCTACTCGTTTATCCGCGGGCAGCAGAGGACGTTGTCGCCCTCTGCTGCCCGCTCTCCCCTCTCCGATGATGCAGTCCCATGCGTGATCCAATGAGTAAACTCCATCGTCTCTGATCATGGTCCCACATCCACGTCTCCTTATCTCGATAGCTTCTTTTATCCATCTTTTGTATTTCTGTTGTTCGCTGTTTATGATCCTTGTGTTGTCCCAGTCCATTACATGGTTTTCTCTTGTGCAGTGATCTGTTACGGCTGACTTCTTTATTGTACTTTCTGCTTCATGTTTTGCTGCTCTTGTGTGTTTTCGACTTGTTTCTTTCTCACACTCCTTTCTATGTTCTATTGTTCGTGTGTTGAGTTGGCGTCCGGTTTCTCCTATCTATGTTTTATTGCAGAGTTTGCATGGGATTTCGTAAACGACTCCACTTTTATGTCCAGCTTGTCTTTTGGGTGCACTAGTCTGTTTCTAACTGTTGTGTATGGTTTTGTTGGTGTGTTTATGTTGTGTTTTTCATTGTTGCACGTATTTTATCCCATCAGTTGTGCCATGTCATCTGCTGTGAGGTTTGTTCTTTTGTGTAAAGTCTTGTCCTGTCTGATTCTGTTAACTACTATGTCTATGGTTTTTGGGTTGGTGTTTTTGTGAACAAGGATGTGACGACTTTAGTTTATTTGGGATTAAAAGCAGGCTGTGGCTCATTTTCAGAGGATTTGTTTCATTTGGTTTAATGAGACCGTTGTCATTTCTGATTAATAACAGAAAAATAAAATTATTAATTTAGTTTAAATTATTTAGTTCATGTTTCTGTTTTAACCTGCATCCTGTTGGCTTCAGCTCACTGCTTTTATTCTTTATTCAGGTTGAGGAGATGCTACTTGTCAGAGATCAGCTGTTCTTCTCTGGTCTCAGCTCTGAAGTCCAACCCGTCCCATCTGACAGAACTGGACCTGAGCTTTAACAGCCTGTTTGATTCTGGAGTGAAGGAGCTCTGTGGTTTCCTGGAGAGTCCAGACTATAGACTGAAGGTTCTGAGGTCAGTTCTCTGCAGCTGTTGGAGGTTTTTCTGTGTTTAACAAACTAAAATCATTCACTCATTCTTCAGAATTAAATCATTTATAAATATTTTCTTCATGTCAAACATTTAAATTTTTTTTATAACTTTCCAATTTTTCCAAAAGTTTAAATAAACATCTTAGAACAAAAACAAGTTTCTGTTTGAACCTTTAAATAACTTTTACTGAATAAAATATTAAACATCAGTTCATCATGTTTTTGTGTTTCTGACTTAATAAAATAGATGAATTGTATTTAAATGGTTTAGTTCAGTAGGTCTCTGCTAGCAGCAACTATTGATGGGGTGTCTGGAGATAGAATATAGCTGAAATATGGAGGAAACACTATTGCAGGATGTTTAACTGTGTCAATAGTGAAAGGTTCAATTTTCACTACAATTGTGGCCTGATTGTCTGAGCTGATGAAGTCCGTCTTGCTACTGAGAAAAAGTCATTAAACAAAGCGTGTGGCCTTGAGCAGTTCTCAGCAGAGCACATGTAGTATGCTAGTGGAAGAGTCCATGTGTTCCTCTCATTGTGCTTTACTGGTTTGTTGAAGCGTGCTATCTGACCTGATCACATGGTATCAGTTCTTTTACTTCCTGTGGTGAAAGAAACAACTGGAAGAATATCCTGCATGGATAAAACAGGCCAGTTGCCCTGGCAACGGTTGTCTAAAGTGTTTGAGCAGATTCTGCTGGAAAGACTTCAAGAGTCTATAGCAGCAACTGATCATCAGTGTGGTTTAAAAGTCAGCGTAGTACTGACTTATGTATCTGTGCTCTAAAGGAAACTGGAAGTACGTCTCTGAGACAGAATCCATCGGTTTTTATGTGTTTTTAGACGCCTCCAAAGCCTTTGACAGAGTTCATCAGCATAAGCTGGACCTACAACTACAAAGTAGAGGCTCCCTGCAGATAGAATCAGGATTTAGCATTTGTGGTCCTCTCACTAACTGATGCAGGTTCAGTGGGGAATGGAAGTCTCTGAAGCCTTCACTGTATCTAATGGAGTCAGACAAGGTGGAGTCTTGTCTCCTGTCCTCTTTAAGCTGTACCTTGATGTCTGATGCTCTGAATGATCGCTAGACTGGGTGCTTGGTGGGCCACCTCCTTGTAAATCATTGAATGTATGCAGGTGATCTCGTCCTCTTGTGTCCCTACAGTGCTGGCATGCAGCAGCTGCTAGCTATGGTGAACAGTGTGACATCATGTTGAACCCTAAAAAGAGTCTTCTCATGCTTGCTGCAACTAAAGAGGATCAGAAGCTGAGCTTTCCATCTTTTATTTAATGAACCAAGTCCTGGATGTGGTGAGAAGTCAGATATGTGGGGCCATTCTAAGAAGTGATGTGTGTGATGATGAGGATGTAAGGAGACAGTGCTGTAAGCCGTACCTGCAGGCTAACACTCTGGTACAGTAACTGTGGCATGTGCTCAGACCAGGTTAAAGTGGCCCTTTGTCCTTCCTCTTGTACTCCCTTCTATACGGCCCACTTGTGCTGCACTTAAAGTCAGGCTGGAATGAAGAAACTACAAGTAGCTTATCAGGATGCATTTAGAATCCTCCTTAGGCTCCTCCCACCATGGACTTCTGCAGGTCAGATGTTAGTCAGGAGTAACGTCCCTACCTTTCATGCACCACTGAGGAACTACATGTAGAAATTCATGCGTGGTTTGAGTTTGTCAGCTAACATTGTAGTCGGAGCCTGTCAGCTTTAACATAGAGACACGAGGTATTCCTCAGGCCTTTTAAACACTGGAACAACTGCCTTCATGCTTTGTGATGGGAATGTGTTTGATTTGTTTTACACATTTTATACTTTTATTGTCTTTGTTTATTTTATTTATTATTTTATCTTCGGTGTCTCGTGATATGGACACATTTTTGTCTGGAATAAAGTTTGATTCATCATCTTCTTTTTTCTTATTTAATACAGTGTGGTAATTTGATGTTTTTTACCTTTGGCTGGCACGTTTCGGCCGGAACATCCGCCTTAGTCAGAGCCGCCAGCTGTTCGTGGCGTCACTTCCGTTTATGTGCGGGCAGCAGAGGACGATGTTGTCCTCTGCTGCCCGCACATAATTATGAACCAAAACACAGAACGAACATTCAGAAGAGTTTTAAAGTTTCATTTAGTTCATGTTTCTGTTTTAACCTGCATCCTGTTGGCTTCAGCTCACTGCTTTTATTCTTTATTCAGGTTGGGGGGCTGCAGCTTGTCAGAGATCAGCTGTTCTTCTCTGGCCTCAGCTCTGAAGTCCAACCCGTCCCATCTGACAGAACTGGACCTGAGCTATAACATCCTGTCTGATTCTGGAGTGAAGGAGCTCTGTGGTTTCCTGGAGAGTCCAGACTGTAGACTGAAGGTTCTGAGGTCAGTTCTCTGCAGCTGTTGGAGGTTTTTCTGTGTTTAACAAACTAAAATCATTCACTCATTCTTAAGAGAAAAGAAATTAGCTCAGTTTGAAACTTTAATTTAAACCGAAAAACTTTTTGGTTGTTTCAAAAGTTTAAATGAGAGCATTGTAGGGTTTGGTAAATTGAGTGCATTAAGAGCTCAATATATATATATTACCTCTACTTATGACCAATAAGCTGTGATACTCTATCTAAATATAGAATATCAACCTGTTTGGTCCTTATTGTGTTTTAATCAGAAGATTCTAGGATTCTTTGTTCATTAAGGGATTGTACACACTTCACTTTGATTCAGAAAAGAGTCAGGTTTATAAAAGTAAGAATTTATTTTACCAACAATTAAAACATGACAGGTTAACTAACATTTACTGTGAGTGGATGGAACTAGATGTGATGTATGAACCCTATGTGTGAATGCGATGTTATCAGAACTTCCGTATCTAGGAGAGCTGAGTTCTGGATGTAAAAGAATTTGGTTTGCGTTCAGCTATGAAGTTGATTATTATCAAAAGGCATCAGACGCTATCTGTGTGTCTACTTCACTCGTTTTCGGAGACCCTCTTTGAAGGTCAGAGAGGTCGGATGACCTCTGGCACCCAGGTCCAGTAGATTGACCACAGCACCGACTTCTCCAGTCCAGAGATGTCTCGAGTCACGACAGATGGATGGAACAGCGCGCCTGGGACTCTTAAGGAGCCGTAACAATATCAGCTTGTTCTGCAGGAACCGTTTGCTGTATCAGCTTAGCAGGTGCAAAAAGATTTTGACGACGTGTCAAAAGCTTTGATGGTTAAAGAGGGTTTTGCTTCAGATGGCCGGTCTGAAGCTTTCTCTAGAACTGATGAATCACCAGAGTGATCCAGTTTTAATGTTCTCATGTTATGATTTGTGTAGCCAACCAGAGGTTGACAAGTTTGAGGAATATTATCAAGACAACCTCAGAAGCACGCCTTCTTTGATCTGGAGGCTCTGATCTGTGGTAAAGGCTGTTTATGTGTCATGGTTTTTTATTTTGTTTTTATTTTTTTTGTTTATTTCATTCAAAATAAAAACAAAACATATAAACAATAAGAAATGCATAACAAAAAATCAAATTTAAATGAAAAGGAGCAGAATGAAGAAAAGCATCTTATAATTTCTGCCCCCTTTTCCAGTAGAAATAATCAATTTATATATAATTACCATTTGTCAGACACTCATACAGATTCATTTAAAACTTTTTCCTGTTCTAAATTCCAGTGCGATCATGATCATTGATTTAATTTACATTTTCGTAATTATTTAGTACACTCAATTTGGTACAATTTTTGAATATATTAAATGACAGAGTTTTTTAATTTCCCTTTTAAGGTTATTCCATAATTTAACACCATTTACAGATATATTCCATTCCTTCATTTTAGTTCTAAATCTGGGTTTTGTAAACACATCAGTTTCTTTCAGCATGTAATTACTAGTTCTCTTTTCAAATATCCCCTGAATGTTTGTTGGCAGAGTACCTAAATTGGCTTTATACATGGTTTGTATGATTTTCCAGTCTTTTCAGTCATGAAATTTCAGTAATTTATATTTAATGAACAATGGGTTCGATGGATCTCTACAGCCACTATAATTGATGATTCTCAGAGCTCTTTTCTGTAAAATAAATAAGGGTTGTGTATAGTTTTTGTTTGTTGCTCCCCAGATTTCTACACAATAAGTCAAGTATGGAACAATCAGTGTATTGCACAATGCCAACAAACCAGAAACAGTCAGTAAAAACTTGACTCTATATAACACTCTTTTGACAATTTTACCTTTTATGTAACTAATATGGGATTTCCATGACAAGTCTTCATCAATAAGAACTCCAATAAATTTAGTTTATTTTACTCTTTGAATTGCAATCCCATCTATTTCCAATGACACATCACTGTTCTTTTTATCATTAAACAGTATAAAATTTGTTTTATTAAGATTCAGTGTCAATCTATTTATATCAAACCAGTTTTTAATTTTAATCAGTTTATCATTTATCACTTTAGCCACCTCCTCAGTATTTGATCCTGAGTAAAACAGTGTCGTATCATCTGCAAATAGAATGGTATAGAGTGTCTTAAATACATTTACCAAGTCGTTAATGAACAAAATGAACAGTTTTGGTCTGAGGACTGACCCTTGTGGCACGCCACAATTAATTTCACATAGTTTTGATTTATGGTCCTTTATCTGAACAAACTGTTTCCTTTTTTCTAAATAAGTTGTAAGCCATTGATGAGCCACACCTCTTATTCCATACTGACTTAATTTTCGAAGTAACCTTGAGTGATCAATGACGTCAAAAGCTTTTTTCAAATCAGTGAAAACACTAACAAAGTCATTTTTATTGTCAATTACTGTTGATATTTTATCTGTTAATTCCATTATTGCCATTGCTGTGTAATATTTAGTTCTAAACCCATATTGTTCATTGTTTAAAATAGTATTTTTTCGATGAATCTATCCAACCTTGATACAAATACTTTTTCCAATATTTAGAAAACTGTGGAAGCAGTGACACCGGCCTTTAATTATTGAAACTATGTTTATCACCACTCTTGTACAAAGGAATGACTTTCGCTGTTTTCATTGCATCAGGAAAATTTCCAGTAGAAAGTGATAGACTACAAATGTAAGTGAATGGTTCAATGACAGATTCTATGAAGGTTTTAACAGTTATCATGTCCAGGTCCTGATAATCGGTTGATCGTTTGTTTCCACAGTTTTTTATAATGTTTCGTATTTCTTCTTTATCTACTTTGTCAAGGACAATACTATTGACAGTACTAATCACTGTGGTCAATTTATCTTCTATTATTGGTTTGTTCTCCATCAAACTCCTACCTACATTTACAAAAAAATCATAAAACTCATCAGTGATTTCTTTATCATCATAAATATATTTTTGGTCCTTGACAAAGTGATTTGGAATACTGGATTTTGCTTTCTCTCTCTTAGTCACACTGTTTATTATTCCCCAAGTAGCTTTTGTGTTATTTTTATTCTGATTCAATAGATTACCATAATAATCTTTTTTTTTTTTGCTTCCTAATTATTGTTACCAATTTATTTTACTATTTTTATATCTATCATCTGCTTCCCTTGTTTGCAATTTTAAAAAACTCCTATATAAATTACTCTTTTTTGCGTTGACATCACTGACGTATACCTCCTTCCAATTTTGTTTATTAAGATCTTTGTTTAATGTCTCCATGGCTTTAACTGATTTATATTGTAAGTTTAACTTTACCTTACTTGTTCTTGTGTGAGTGCAAATGGCGATGACCTTGTCATATTAACATGCTGAACATATATCAATCTTTCAATGTAATCATAACATAACATTCATTTCAACCTTCAATCATTGAGCGCAGATTAATGAAAGCATTTCATTATATTATAATTATTATAAGTAGCAATAAACAAATGTTTAATTATTATTTAACTTATAAGTTTTAGAAGTTCATATTTAATTTAAGAAATCATTCTTTGATTTAGCAACTAATCCGAGCTGCGAGTGTTCACTTATTTGGAGGCATGAAGAGTCCTGTAGGACGATAAGGGAAGCTTGAACCTTGAGGAGAGAACATTATTGTTGACAATTCGTTATCATGTGTTCAGAGCTGCAGAGAGGCTCTGAGCTCCAGCTGATGGGATGAAGGCAGGCTGATTTAAAGGGAACACATGCAGTCTCGTGTCTCCTTTTTGACCAGATGTTGAATGGTCAAACTGTACCTAAAACTGACCATTGCTGGACGTTACACCATTTTAGAACAAAAATAGGTTTCAGTTTCTGCTTGTTAAATCCTTTAAATCATTTTTAACTTAGAAAAATGTTAAACATCGTTTTATCGTTTTTGTACTTTTGACATGATAAACATAATTTATTCCTTTTAAATAATTTAGTTCATGTTTCTGTTTTAACCTGCATCCTGTTGGCTTCAGTTTACTGGTTTTATTCTTTATTCAGGTTGGAGAACTGCAGGTTGTCAGAGATCAGCTGTTCTTCTCTGGCCTCAGCTCTGAAGTCCAACCCGTCCCATCTGACAGAACTGGACCTGAGCGGGAACAGCCTGAAGGCTCCAGATGTTAAACAGCTGTTGGATCTAGTGGAGAGTCCAGACTACAACCTGCAGACTCTGGGGTCAGTATCTGGGTGGAGTGAGTCCAGGCTGCTGTCAGAAGGACTGGACTAAACCCAGTTAGGATCAAAGCAAAGATCCAGTGTTTCCAGTAAAGCTGCAGCTTCCCAGTGGCTGCTTTCCTCAGTCCAGCTGTGAGAGGAGAATGGTGACAGGCTTGATGAATAGAGCCAGAAGCTTGTTGTGTTGATGTGAAGACGAGTGTTGTGTTCATGTCTCCAGGAGATGAAGCTGGATTCCAGCTGACAGCCTTCAACATGGATAGAGACAGTGGTCCTCATTCATCAAAGTGTCTCCATCAGATCTGATCTCATACTGTTTGTTCTCTCATTTCAACAGGAAACAGCTGATCACTTTGATCTTTGTCACAGCTCTGAGATCAGTCTGACTGCAGCCTGTAAATCACTGGTTCTGATTTCAGAAAGCAGGCTTCCATTTAGGAGCCATGTGGTCTTTCTACAGAGCAGAACATCTGCTGAAGTCCACTCAGCACATCTGTCCAGCTGTCTTTCTGTCATTAGTCTGATCCAGATGTCTTCAGGGACATCATAGAATGCAAAATGTTTCCACTGTGGACTGGAGTCACACCTGCAGAGGAAACACGCTTGATGCTAAAAGTCTCTGCAGGTGTGTGAGCTTCACTCCAACACGTTAACATGAGAGCTGAAAGGAAGCTGCTGCTGATGGAGGATGTGCTGCATCACTGACTGACAGCTGATGGAGAGAGTCTGGAAACAGGAAGTCACCTCCTCTCTTCTCTCTACAGGTGGGAGTCATGATGGTGACCTTTGACCAG